GTCAAAAACTGATGAAATTCTAATGAATATTTGGCATGTCCACAATTAGAGTAGGAGATTTTCATATACTTTTATTTTTAAAACTGCTGATTCAAGCAAAGAAGAAATTAGTAAAAATGTTGAAGATATGAACAAAATTAATAGGCTTGATCTATTTGATATATAAAAGTATTCACCCAACAAATGGTGACTATCCTCTCTTATATGCTATAAATGGAGCATTTACCAAAGTTGATTTATGTACTACATCATAAAGGCAATCTTAGTAAATTTCAAAGAGTAATAAAAATCGTGTGTATGTGTAAAATTCTCCACATTAACAGATTAAAAAGGGGAAAAACCTACGTGATTGTGTCAATACATGGCATAGTATGACCACAATGGAATTGAATTTGAAAACAGTAGACCTCTTTAAAATGTGTGGAAACTTTAAAATGCCCTCTCTAATAACTAATGAATTTAAAAAGGAAATAATAGTGAGAATTATAAAATTTTAGGACTCAAAAATAATGAATGTGCTACATATCAAAACTTGTAGAATGCAGTTAAAAGGATAAAGGTAAAGTGGAGGAAGGAAAGCCAAGAGAAAAAAATTAATGAAATAAAAACCAGTATCAAAGATCAACAAAAAATGCTGGTTTTTAAAAAATAAGTTAAAAACTAGCAAACAGACATTTAACAAGATTGATCATGAAAAAAAGTAAAATTAAAGATAATATTCAATACTCAAACTCAGGATATTGGCTCTTAACCATGTTACACTGATTCTCTCAAAAGAAAATGCTACAGACCCACCTTCAGTCAATAAATGTGGTAATTAGATAAAATATGAACATGATAAAATTTTCTGGAAAAAACATATATATCAAAATCAACTCAAGAAATTCTCCATGATCTATACTCATTAAAGAAATTGAGTTAGTAATAAAAAATACTACTTCCCCTTCTTTTTCCTACCAAAAGACAGAAAGTTTACCATGCCTTCACAGGTTATTCCCTGTGTTATATATACAGCCTATGTTGGAAAAGAGAAAAAGAAAAAACTGCTTCAAGCAACTCATTTTATGAAACTGATAGCAATACTGGACTTGGACAGTACCCAAAAAAATTATTTTAAGGGAAACTACAGTCTCAGTAAACACAGATAAAAATATCCTAAGTGAAACCAATGAATAGAATCCTGTAGTGTGTGTTTTAGTATAATTCTCAATATTAAAGGATTAAAAGGTTAAAGGGATTAAAAAACTATGTGATTGTTTCAGTAGATGACATTAAAAACTTTTGGTAAATTTCCTAATCAAAAAAAAAGGGGAGAGGGGTTAGTAAATTTGGAATAAAAGGGGTCTGGAATTTCTTTAACCTGATAAAAGGAATATTCCAAAAGCCTAGAATGCGCAATCACATTTAATGGTAAAACTTTAGAAGCCTTTCTATTAAAGTCAGAAAAAAAAAACCAAACCCCTAAGAATGTTTGCTGTCGCTACCTTTATAAAGCAGTATACTAGAGGGCTTAGGCAGTGGAATAACAAAAGAAAAAGAAATTAAGAGTTAAAAGAAGAGACAAAATTGGTAATGAGAATAAACCATTCACGACGTTGTTTTATAGGAAATCCTTGTTTTAAAAACTGTTTCAACTTCAGAGTTTAATGCAAACTTAGGTTTAAAAATGTCAGATTCAGTTGTAATTGATGTTGTCGCTATCTCACTTAGCTGAGCTAACTAGTAATAATAAAAGCAGTGTTTTTCATTTAGCAATTATGTTTATAGGTTGTATAATTAAACTGATGAAATTACTTTAACCACCAGTAAGTAGTTTTATAGATTTTAAGCATCTCTGTGAGGGGGAAAAAAGGTCTACTCCAGCTAACTCTTAATTCTCACTCCTGTTTTATGCAAAAATAAAATGAAATACAAATGGTATAAAATAGAAAATGAATGAAAGGAATTTTCGTGTGTGCGACAAGATCCCTTTTATTTGTATTTGGTTGCTTAGTCTGAATTAAAGTCTTTTCACATTTTGCACCCTATCAGAGCTTTAAAGTACAAACTGCTTAGCTAAACTTAATCTTAGCTTTAAAAGCTAAAGTAACATTGCACATCCCTGGTGTATTATTGGTCATTGTTTATTGGTAACCCGGACAGAGTACATGGCATGTGCTGTTCTGTGTCACTCACCCCTTTCCTTCTCCACAATTCCATTTTACAGTCAGTTATCACATTTTATGGCTTGTTTATCTTTCCTCTTCTCCTAGGAAGCTGGAATTTTGTATTGGCTGAATGGATTGAAAATTATATGGTGAAAAGAAAACCACAAAATGTTTAGGGATGTTTCTATTTAGGAACAAAAATTAACGTTTGGATTAAATTGTCTTTGAGTTCTTTTAATATTGTTTACGTATTTTAAATGTTTTGGTTTTGTTCATAAACCTTTTCTTGTTTCAAACATTGCTTTTGTAAAATGTGTAGTGTCCTTATTTACCTTTTGCCCTGGACCTGTGGTTTTTCTTCGTTTCACCTCTTTGATGAGACTGTAGAGGCTAATATTTCAGAGAGAAATTTCCTGTGTTACTAGATAGACCGTGGTTTTTGCCTCATTTCAACTTCAGTGTGTCAACTTGATAGGATGGCGCAGGTGGACATTCTGCTGACCAGCATTTGATGGGGGAGGGTGGAGGCTGGTGATGGATGGATATGTCTGATGATAAAATAAGCAACTCCATGAATATGAGTGTGCAGAGTAGAAGTGGGACCGGCAGATGGTGGAGCTGTGCTGGATCTGATTTCTTCCTCAGCTACGAGACTTGCTGTGGCCGACTTTTCACAGAAGCCAGCTGGGATTGTCTATTAACTGCCAGCACCCATTGGTTTGGGGAGAAGGGACTTGTTGCTTTCTTTAGAATTTGTTCAGCCTCTCATTTTCATGTATGGCTTTATGTTCATCTGCTGGTAAAACATGATATTCAAAAGTAGAATGTATGAAAAGTGACCTTTCCTTGGAAAACATCCCGGTTAGATCTCATTTCCACAATATGATTCCACTTTGACATCTGGCTTTCTTCCCTATTCCTTTTTTTCCCTTTAATCCTCTGATATTTTGAGTTTCGGTGCTCTCTGCTATTGGCACTTCAAGTCTCATTCCTGAAAGTTCTTCCCATGTTGTGAAGAGAAGAAACATTTTTCAGAAAACACCAACACAGAATATAGGGCTATAAGAAAAACTTAAATCTCACAAAGCTGATGGTTTTAACTTCCCTTTGTAACATATACAATTTTATTTACTGATCCGAAGTACTTTTAAGAAACTTTTTAGTTTAATTTCTGAAACTTACCTACTAGTTGAGATAGTTCTGCTATAAATAGATTAAAACTCATTATAAATGATATTCCTTGGGCTGGCTTAGAATTTTTTTTTTTTTTTAGATGAGCCATCCTGCCACCTGTTGGCAGCTCAGCGGCTGCCAGGACTCGAACCGCTGTTGCTCAGAGCTCAAACTCTTGAGTAAGCTCTTAACCAACTGTGCTACTCAGCCGGCCCTAAAAGCTTGTAGTCTTGAGCGAGCTCTTAACCAACTGAGCCATTCGGCCAGCCCTAGAAATGTTCTTGAGCGTTTCAGTGAAAGGAAGAAGGGTAGAAACTACAGGTGGGTTCATGGGAGGGATGGAAGCCTGAGAATGCATTTTGGGGTCCGGCCGGCTATAGTCTGGGGAAGTCCAGGCTGTGAAAGAAAAGAAGACTCACCTTATACGGGTGCTGTTTATTTTCGTGTTCTTGAGTTAAGTGCTTTCAGCAGCAGCTTGAATGCGATGAGGATTTAATGATATGTAAACTATTTTTAAAAAATAAGAAAAAAGAAAGTTTAAGGCTGAGAGCTGAGATTTTCAGAGGGTAGACGGTAAAAGAAAAGGCCGAGCAGGAAGAAGGTGGGTTGTAGAGCTGTCCTTAGACAGAAGTATTGTTGAAGTGCGGTACATCCGAGCTCTAGCTGTGTATCCTGCATTTGAGGAGGGAGTGGGGTGTGAAGCTTTACTTACAAAGCCAAGTGAGTGGGTCTTACCTACCATGTTTGTATTATGGTATGAAATTCTCACAACAGTATGAGTTAGGAATTTCTAGGAGTTAAAGACCTTGGTAGATCCTGGGAATTTCTCCTTCAGCTGTCTAAGCTGAGTAGGTTATCCAGCCACCTGGGACCACAGTGAAACCCAGGGCACAGAAATGAATACGACTTACTACAGAGGCACAAGCATTTGTGATGCCCATGTTGGAGAATGTCATATATTGCCAGGGTTGATTCCGGTTCTCTGGCTGACTGGAAGGGTTTCCTTTGCTTTATCACTGCTGTTACAGGTGCCTCCCTCCATGTATTAAGAATTGCAAGTATTACAGATGTCAATATTTATATGTTTGTTGGTTCACCCAAGGAATGGCCACAGCCAAATCCAAGCACTGTCCCCAGGGTTCTCCAAACTCTGTCATCTTCCCCCCTCTTTTGGCAGCTTTTTATCTTGACTTCATTCTTAGACAGGCTCTCCCTGCTAATAGCAAAATGGCCACCAGCAGAGCTCAGCTTCTATCCTAGCAGCTTAGAATCCTCAGCAAAAAATAAGACACCTCTTCCTCCGAATCGTTCCAACATAAATTCTGAAGCTGACTGTCATTTGCCTAATTTGTGTATACTCCCATCCTGACCCAGTCACTAAAATAGTCTGTGTAGTCCTTGGTCTTTTTCACTCATCTCTGGAACCTAGGAGTGGGTCAGCCCTCCTGTATCATAGGGACTGGGAAGAAGGGAGGGAAATGGGGGTGCTGTTAACATGAGAAAGAGGAAAGGGGTGCTGGACAGTCAGCAACAATAAAACGTCCACTATTATCTAGCCTCAAAGCTATTTAATGCAAGGGGACTGCCTTTCAGCCAAGCGTTCGCTAACAGCTGGCTTCCTTAGCTAGCTTGTCCAGTGTCGAAGCCTAACTCCTCTCCACACTGTCTTTGTTTTCTCAGATACCTGTTCCCCAAGTTCACACTGTGCTGGACCGAGTTTGTAGACATGAAGGTTCACGTGCCCTGTGAAACCATTGAGTACATCGAAGCCAACTATGGTAAGACCTGGAAGATTCCCGTGAGGACCTGGGACTGGAAGCGCTCTCCCCCCAACGTGCAGCCCAATGGCATCTGGCCTATTTTGGAGTGGGACGAGGTTATCCAGTTATACTGAGCCAGGAGGTTGGAACAGAATTCCCCTCCCGAAAAAGCAGATGGATAGCTATTTTAAAAGATAAGTGTCTATTTGTCAAACTTAAGGAGGAGCCAAAGAAAAATGACAAGTTTGAAGACACAGAAAGAGTCCCAACTCCTGAACCATCTGATTTAATTCTCTCACTTTACATTTATTAAGTGGTGTCCATGTGCCAGACACAATTGCTAGGTTACAGTGGCAAGCAGAAATGAATGAGATAGATGCCTGCCTCTTTTCCCTTCCCTTTGGTAAGCACCCCAATTTTCCTTGGAGGGAAACACCTTCACTCTTTGAAGAGCTCGTATAGAATCTGATGTGTTCTGTGAGTGTTTTCAAAATGTTAGATCGGGGCAGCCGATTAGGTCAGGGGGCTAGAGCGCAGCGCTCCTAACACCAAGGTTGCCAGTTCGATCCCCATATGGGCCACTGAGCTGTGCCCTCCACAACTAGATTGGAATAACTACTTGACTTGGAGCTGATGGGTCCCGGAAAAACACACTGTTCCCCAATTAAAAAAAACAAAAACATGTTAGACAATGTTTAACTAGAGGAGGGGCTTACTAGGCAAAATTAAGTTCAGATATACTAGTTAAAAAGAATAACTGTTCCTGTTCTCAGCACTTGTACGTTACTGTTACTTTTAAGGTGTGGACTTGAGGCTTTCAGAAATGATGCTATCAGATTCCTTTTATTAGCACCCTGATGTGAAGTTGATTTAGAGCACAAGGCTTCATCCTACAAGAGAATGAGAGCTTATTTCTGGCCTTGTCAAGGATACCTAAATTTCCATATACTTTGTATTTTTATATTTGAAGGGAAAAGAAAGCTTATGTTTGTGTAATGCTCAAATTTCCAGCCATTGTGAGAATATTTTCACTGACTTTTGATAGCACTTGTTGACAAATCATTCAAGTGAGACCATGCTCGCAGACATGATTTCGAAAGGGTTGTCGTTTCATAAAACTTATTTTCCTTATTTTATTCTCACCCATCTGTTAAGTAAAAATTTGAGCTACTCATGGACATTTAATATTTTCTGATTTATAATCCTTGCACTCCCTATTTTAATGTTAACACTAAAATATTAATAGGAATACCTCTGATTTTTCTAAATGTACTCTTCAGTGTATTGATTCATTAATTATAGCCCCCTAGCTTTCATTTTTGGGTCTCTAAACCAATTTATTTTATTTATTTATTTATTTTTAAAGATTTTATTGGGGAATCAGGGGAAGGGGAACAGACAAGTTGCTGTCGTTTTGTTCTTCAGTCTAGTTGTGGAGGACATTGCTTCACTGGCCCAAG